GTCCATCCCTAGTCTCAACCCATCGAGTGGAAGCGAGCTGTATTAAAACCAGGTAGTTTACTCATGAGAATATGATGTTAACATTACTCAACAAGCTGCCACTTCATCAGGGATGAAGGATTGATTTGATCTCTGATGAAATAAAATGTTTACTAGATATTTGGTTTGGTAAAAGCATTTTTGCTTTGTTTTTGGGGAAGCGCAAGAACAAAACCGATGAACAATTACACTGCTAACACCTCAGCAGCAAAGTCACACATTGCATTTTTTGTTACTTTACTTTTGTTCTTCATCCAAACGCCTTCATCGCCACACCACACGATTGGGTGGCAGCTAGCTAGCTTAGCATTGTCTTCAGTGGTTGCAAGTATTGAACTTAGAGGTACCGTTAAGCTTTCTTCAAGTCTCCACTAGTTGACTCCCAAATGTGCTGGCTAAGATGAGCAAGGCAGCTAAAATCACACAATGGCTATAAAAAACAAACCAAAAAACCAAAAACAATTCATCTAATGTTTTGGTAGTGACTAAACCACTGTGTAATATCAGTTAAATGTCCAATGATCTAAACTTACATTACCTCAAATTAGAAAACATGTGATCACTGAAACTAAACTGAGTTCACCTGTGAGTTCCAATTAGCCTAACTGTGGACACGTGGTTATAAAATGATCTGTGAGCAGCAGAACTTTCTCAGTTTTGGATCTGTGGGCTGTATGCCTGCATCATGGCTCCATATGGAAAATAATCCCTACAGGTCAGGATTGGAAAAATGAGACTTTACAGAGATGGAAGAGGATACAGGAAGATCGGTAACCAGCTTAAAATGAGTGGAAGCTCGGTTGCAGTTGTAATCAGGAGGTACAGAAGGAGCCATCGTATCACTAATCAGAACTGCAGTGACTGTTCTCCTAAAGTGGTACCACAGACAGTCTGCTACTTTAACAGTTTAGCTCTGAAAAACTGGTGGGCAGATGTTTCATAGACTTAGTACAGAGGTTATCAATGGAAATCAGAGTCTCGTTGTCTGACAGCTCAGACAGTGTGAAGGACATCAGCCTCTATGGGCAGTGTTCAGGAAAATGCTCTTTGACTAAAACTGCAAAATGAAATGTGGCTAAAGAACGTGAAAAGAAGCCACATTCTATGGCTCCATGACACCAAGATAGATTCAGTAATGCAGGGCGGTGGAGGTGTGATGATACAGGGCTGCATGGCTGGAAAGGTGTCAATGAGATGACATGTACAGATGGCATCATGAATACCTGTTGCTATACCAAAAATACTGGCTGACAGGATGATTCCCAGCCTGCAGAAGCCTGGCAGAAGAAGAATAATCCAGCATGATAATCATCCAAAGCACAAAATCACACAAGAAGGAAAAATCTAAAACTATGATCTGACCAAGAATGTCGCCTGACTTGAACAACAAAACCCCTCCAGCAAAGAGCATCTAAAAGAATAGACTCTAAAAAAGAAAAGCAGAACATCTCATTCAACACTACAACAGAACTGAGGATGTCATCACAATAAAAGTAAAAAGAAAAATGAATGATCTAAATTATAAAAGGTGCCGGCACCTTCGTAACACTGATTTCTTACTGTGGAGCCTGTGTTTTAATCATAGTTAATCTAGATGGTCAGTTTTTAATTTGACATAAGAACAGATCTTCTCCTGTTCAGCTTAGAATCCATGCAGCTACTGTAAAGTGACACAATCTGGAGTCATCTGACATTTAAATAATGTTGTAATGTCGTATACTCCATGTACCAAAGTGACATCAGCTCTCTGCCTGACTGCTGATCAGACCAACAAATCCCAAATGGGATTAGAAGCTGTAATGTGATTGTTTAATTTCAAATTGTAATCCTTTACAGTATCATTGTTCCTGAAAAAAAAAGTAATCCCACTGCTGGCATGTGCTAGTTTGTGCAGTTTGGGTCAAATAGAAATACGCTGCAAACGTTGAACAAATGCACAAATTACTACAGATCCAATACAAACAAAAACCAACGGTGCAAATAGCAGCGAAAAGCAACAGCTCAGCTTTGGCATATAGAAAGTTATGGTCAGTTAAAATCAGTTTTAGTTGGTAAATTGAATGTGTTTTTGTTCTGGGTTTCCCCCAACGTTGGAAGAAATCTTGTCTCTTTTTTTAGACTCTGAGCAGGCTTCCCTCCATGCAGTGCATGCTGGGATATATCCAGTCTTTCATAGTGTTGTGTCCCCCAGAGTCTGAACTTCTAGACCAAACATGATCGCGTGGACTTGTCATCTTTTGTGAGTCAAAGAATGCAGCTATTGTTCAAATTCAACAAAACTGCTGTCGCCTTTGACTGTCAGCGAACCATGAATCTTGTTG